TCATATGCAGATAAAATATCATTTGTATATCTTTCATAGATTTGTATAAATCATATAAAATTTCACATTCATATACACATTATGTAAAAATCACATTAAATCATTAAATAGTTATTATCTGCCCCAGGATTACATATGGAAAACTGAAACACCAATCAGAAAGAATATATGCACCCCTATGTTCATAGTAACACAATTTACAACAGCTAAGATCTGGAAACAGCCCAAGTGCCCATCAGTAGATGAGTGGATAAAAAAACTGTGGTACATTTATACAATGGAATACTATGCAGCGGTGAAAAAAAAAGGATCTCTTACCCTTTGAGACAGCATGGAGGAAGCTGGAGAAATAAGTGAAATAAGTCAGCCAGAGAAAGACAAGTATCACATGATCTCACTAATACATGGAATCTAATTAACAAAATAAACTGATGAACAAAATAGATCCAGAGACATAGAAGCATAGAACAGACTGTCAAGTCTCAGAGGAAAGGTGGGGTGGGTGGGAGGGAGGGAAGAGAACAACCAAAGAACTGGCTTACATATATGCCTAACCCATGGACACAGACAATAGTGTGGTGAAGGCCTGGGGCGGGGAGTGGGTGTGGGTTAGAATGGGTTAATGAGGAAAAAAGGGGGACATCTGTAATACTTTCAACAATAAAGATAACTTTAAAAAAAGTAAAAAAAAGAAAAGTTTTTACCAAAATACCTCCAAGAAAAAGATTACATATATTTATACATAATCTCATTTATATAAATCTTATATATAGATATATAAAATTATGCATATACATAAATCTCACTTAATCATTAATAGTGACTATATGTTATCCACTGTTCTTAAAACTATAACATTTCATATATATGTTTTATATGTATATATCTATATCTTGCATATATATTATATCTTGCTGCAAATCCCATTTAATCATTAAAAGGCTACATGCCAAAAATGGTTTGAAATATATATGTAATTTAATTTAAAGTCATTTATATAATTAAATAAATCATATATATATATACTAGTGGCCTGTTGCACGAAGATTCGTGCAATAGGCCTTCCTTACCCTGGCTGCCGGCACCGGTTTAACTCTGGCCCCTGGGACCTAGGCCTTTGGTCAAGCGAGGCTTGGCTTCTCTGCTCCAGCTGCTCCCAGACCCTTCTTTTTTTTTTTTCCTAGCTCCTTGAGCGGAGCCCAGACCCCCAGCCCCTCCTTGAGAAGAGCCCAGGGCCGGCGGGAAGCTTGGCTTCCTCCATCACTGGGAGCAACCCAAGCCTCCTGCTTGCTCCAGCTCTGCGGCCACCGCCCTCTTGAGAAGAGCCCAGGGCCGGCGGGAAGCTTGGCTTCCTCCATCACTGGGAGCAACCCAAGCCTCCTGCTTGCTCCAGCTCTGCGGCCACCGCCATCTTTAGTCGTATTCAGTCTTTGCTCTGCGCCTGTGTATGCAAATTGATCGCCATCTTTGTTGGGTTAATTTTCATAGTCACTCTGATTGGCTGGTGGGTATAGCAGAGTGACGGAGTGATGGTTAATTTGCATGTTTCTCTATTATTAGTGTAGATACACACACACACACACTCACACACACACTCACACACACACAGTTATATACAGGGTGCAGCCCCCCCCATAAAAAATGTATACACACTTTAACAGCTGGTAGTTCAATTAATGTTTCTTTCTTTTCAGATTTAGCCCACTGACATTAATAATTATTCAAAGTGTATATACATTTTTGGGACACTCTGTATATACAGTGGAACCTCATTTCTCAAATTTAATTTTTCCCATTAGAAATAATGTAAATTGAATTAATCTATTCCAGACCCCCAAATGATTCCCTGTTTTACCCTTTCTTATATACAGTGCATATCTATTGTAGTATTTATAAATAGATACTTTACAAACAAAAGGATATGAAATGTAAATGAAAATTTAACAAAAAGGAAATGTACAGTAACAACGAAAGTTTAACAATCATTATAAGCAGCAGCAAAAGCAAAAACACATGAAAATATTCAGAGCACAATACCCTGAGATTTTAACAGTGGTAACTGACTCATATTCTCGCATTCTCTCCTTTGTCACCTGAGAGATGTGTGACTCATCATACAGGGATCAGCATGAAAGGTTGTCATGTTGAGAATAGAATTGAGATGGGAGACATTTGAGAAACGATGTTTCCGTGTGTGTGTGTGTGTGTGTGTGTGTGTGTGTGTAAATCTTGTTTCATTATCTAAAAATTCCCTACGAGGCAGACACAGTTGTCACCCCAAAGGCTGAGGGAGGTGATACCATGGATGTGATACCAGGTCTCAGCTGAGCTCCTGTCACCCCAACTAAGCTGCTCCCCCAGAGCCCAAAGTTGCCCCTGCCTCATAGGGGATAATTCCAGCTTTCCAGCTGCCCAGGCCCCAAGTGCCATCACCACCCTTGACTTCCCCTGACTCCACAACCAATCCACCAGCAGATCTTGGTCTGTCTTCAAAGCACATTCAGTACTTCACTCCTCACCACCTCACCATCCCCTCCCCGATTCAAGCCTTTGTAGAGGGCAGATGGACAAGTGGGAGAACCTCCTATTAGTCTCCTCACCCTCACCCTGCTCTTACCTTTGGTCATAGAGCAAATCTGTTAAAGCCCAAGTCAATGAGGCCACTCCTTTGCACATCCTCCAGGGACACCCACCTCACCCACAGGCCCTACAGCACGTGTCTCCCTGTGAAGACTTGACAACATGTTGAAATCACTGCCTTCAAGAGCCTGAATAGTTTCTAAGTGTAATTTACATATCTAAGATTTATTAAGAAGGGTCGGTAAGAATTTCTTTGAAGAGAACTATGCTACCCACATCTCACACACACACCCACCCACACACACACACACACACACACACACACAAACACACACACCTGGAAAGTATGTGAGGAGGCCTCCCTTTCATCTGAAGTCAAAGGAGAAGGGGGCTTCAGTACAGATTTGTGTGTACCCCCTAAAAAGTAGGGGACATTGTGGATTGGCATTTGACTCATGCCTGAGAAATGCACTGGACAAGACAAGGAGGCAGACTGTACTCCACCGGTGAGGCCTTCGCTGCTGTTCAGAAGTCATCCGTTTGGGCTGAGGGTGTGAGTGTTTCCCATGAGCCACATGTGGTCCAGGCATGGTAAAGAGCTGGCTTGGGGATTGATTGTCTTGCCCTAAAGGGACCAAGAGACCTTAATTGGAGAAGTTGGCAGTGAACCACTGGACTCCTCGGGGCTGACGAGGGAGTAATGGGTTCACAGAGGCCACTTGGCAATTCTGAGACTGGCCACTGAGGAAAATCGCCAGGAAACCCATACAAGTTGAAAGACAGAGACAGACAGAGACAACTATGAGGCCCAGAGAATGAAAATGCCCATCGGCCAACAGCAACATTTGGTCCTGGTAAAATCTTCTTTGCTCCCCTCAATCAAACCAGAAAAGGCATCTAGGGTCAACAAGAATGAGGGAAGCCTTCACCATGAATGCAGTTGGAAGCAGTGATACTTAAATAGAGCATGACCATTTTTGATTTTTGAACTGAAGCTGTGTTTGTGACTTTAAGGAACTATTATTTACCAAAAAGGTCCTGCAGCCTACCTGTCTTTTCGTCTAGGGTTAGGAGAGGGCTATTCCTTTAAGCAGACTTAACAGGATAGTGAGAGAAAAATAAAATTGCTTTTGGGGTTACATTCACCATTATTCTGCATAGTAGTGAATCCCTTAGTTGTTAATGTATTTGACTAGATGGGCATTTCAACCCACTTCACCCTTTATTTTCTTCTCACTGTTGGGCAAGGATCTGTCTAGCATGATATCACATCAGTTAGCCCTGAGAGACAAAGGAATATGGTTTTGTCTTACAGATGTCCCGCTCTGAAACATCCCAAAGGCCTCGTCCAGTCTCCTGAAAGGACCAGTAGCAGTTAGGAGCAAAGGACTTTCCAGGTGTGACCTTGACTACTCAGGATGGAACCAGGACCCTGGAGAAAGAGCCAAGAGGCACACAAAATGACAACGATGGCAACCATAATGACACCAAGAATAATAGAAAGAAAAAGGAAAGGGAAGCCAGTAGAGGGAAGGTCCTGGGCTCCAGCCAAGGCCAGCCCATAGACTGAAAGGGAAATGAACAATGAATGGTGCACCATATTCTAGACCCTGTAGGTGTTTGTGCCTGTGTATAATGTGTTCTCTCCAGGACTGCATTGAGGGCAGTCTAAAAATCAGGACAGGATTCCCCGCCTTCTCACATTCCTGGACCCCAAGATTCTTCACAGCAGGGACTGTCTGAGTAATCCGTGCCTTTCTGCAGCTGTGCAGCACCCAAGACAGAGCAGTGGGCTCACTACGGCTCCTGGATGGGTGGCAGCGCAGACAATGGCCTTGAGTAAATCCCTCTCCCAGGATTCTCCATTGCCCTGAACCCCTGAAAGACTCCTTTTCCTCTTTCCTGCAGCCCCTGCAAAGTCTTGGGAAGCCAGGGTCCCTCAGCAGTGTGCCTCTCATACGAGCCATGCTGTGATGGTCCAGGCAATGAGATAGTGCAGGTGGAAGGACTTTGCATAATTTCACAGTGACAAATATCACTGTTAGCCACGTGTGGCAGTTCGGGTTGTATGAGATGGAACTCCATGAAGGTTTACTCCTGTGCAAGGAAACTTTCTGGGCATACCAGGGAAGAGGCAAAGGCTCATTTCAACCCCCTAAAAAATAATCCCGTGCCCCCTATTGTAAGATCTTCTGGAATCAAGCTGGTGCTGCCCAGTGACTAGTTGCCTGAATAACTAAAGCCTCGAGCCAGATGTGGGTGGGCAGGCCTGTGCTATCCAGGAACCCAGACACAACCTAGAAGCATCAGAGGCCTCAACCCCTTGGAGGCCCCAGAAACTGCTCTGTTCAGACACCACAGAACCTGTTTGTGAATTTCATGCCCAGGCTGCAAAGGGGGGAACACAGGTAAACACAGACAAAGTTTCAACCTTTTTATTCAAAGCAGCTTTTCACAATGTATAAATACTGCATATTAGCACACATGAAAATACAACTTCTAAGGCACCCAGAAATGTGTTCATACACGTTACAGGACCATTCACAAAGAGAGTGTACAATTTGCTCTAGACAGTCAGCATTTGATAAATCAGATTATTACCCTCCAGTACTGCACCCAGTCTCAGGAAATATTTACAACATGGTGAGACAGGGTCAGCTGTACCTGCTTGATAATTCTATGAAGTACTCATACTTACAATATTCAGAACTAGTTCAAGACTCTCCCATGACAAAAGAAAACGAGTAGCCTAATTTGCAAAGGTCTCCTTGGATTTTGGTGTGTGTGCTACATCCAGGATCAAACCCAAACACTCCTAGGGTGGGCTGGATAAGTTTTTGGTAGCCTGCTTCATAATCAGAAGTTTGGTAATAAGCCTTACCACTAGAATACCACTTCTTCAGCATCAAGCATTTCTCAACCAGTTAAAGGATCGATGATTTCATCATGAATGAGAATGGAGAGCATCCCCTGGTGTGAGAATAGAAAGAAAATTCTTCTCACATCATCAGGAACTGGAATGGGTCAATGTAGAACACCAGGAAGTGGAGATTTGGCAACTGCCGGATGGCTGTTCAGTGTAGTCACATCTGAAAGACTCGCCGTCGGGGTTGTTATTCAGATGGAGTCGTCCACACTGGCCAGAGAACCTGGAAGCATGCCAGACCTCCACTGTGTATCGTAATGGGTAAAGGCTGGGACTGCACAGCAAAAACACCCCCCTGAGATAGCGAGTTTTCATCTGAGAAACTCACCTTTCAGAGCCTTCTCCAGGTGACAACACACCCTCTTTATGGCCAACCCCGGGGGAGCATGCGGTTGGTGGAAGCGAGCAGTTTCTTTGTGCCATGAAGCATGCACACCTCTGCCTAGATGTGCCTACGATCTATGAAACTCATGCTTTGTTGAAATAATGAAATTCTTTGGTCCTTGGTTTTATGAAAGGCAATATTTTCACAATCCTGTCAACATGGGCATCAGCAAATGACTTCAAGCTGGGACTAATGACGCAGGGACAAATTAAATACTAGATGGAAAACTCTACACCCTCCAAACTTCCCAGAATCCCCTAAACTCCAGCATCAGGTCAGGTGTGGGGGCTAATGAGGCATGGTCAAGCCAACAGATGCCAGAGCTGAAGCTTAAAACTAGATGTCAATTTTTCATACTGCAAACATTTGAGGCATATCTCCATCCCAGGGTAGATAAGTTGACTTTATGAACACTATTCAAGATGAACCAAATAGTAACTTGATTTTAGCCATGCTGTAGCCTTGGTCTCAAAATCATCTTTAAAGCCTAGGTAAGGAGAATCAGCTGATACTGTGACCAACTGAAAGGAATCATAATTTTAGGAGAATTTAAGTCCAATTTTCAGTTGGTTTTACTGGGTCCCAAGCACAGTGGACACACCACCTATGAGATCCACGACTTGCGTTCCATGAAAACACCCTGGGTTGGATGGACTCAACCAATGTGTACGATCTGCATCTAGTTTGCCTTTGCCCTGCTAAACATGGGTTTCATATGGCTTAACACAGACAGTTCATTGATAAGACGCTCAGAACACATGGGAATGCTGATTGTATAACTGAAATGAACTTCAGATTGTCTACACAAGACTCACATGTAAACTTTATTAACATCTCTCAAGGAATGCTGATCTCAGCCAGGTTGGACGTTTCCAAGTCACCCACACGGAACCTGGGGTCAACCACCAAGGTCAGGAGCAGGAAATGCCATTTGTTCAGAACAAATGATGGACCAGCAGCCCTCCCTGTGACCGTGTCTAAATCATGCGAATAGTACAAAGGTGGCTCCAGAAAACCTGTCCTTGGCTCATGTGTATGGCCAAAGACAATCATCAAGGTGCCCATCTGGCCCCTGCAGCCATCAACGCAACCAAACTCTTCAGATAAGCCATAACTTACAGACTGCATGGAGTCCATCAACATGGCTTACATTGCTTGGAAGAAACAACCCGTATTACCCTTTTTTTTTTTTTTTGCAACAAGCTTAAGGCTCTGTTTACAAACTCCATCAACTGCCACACAGTGAGAATTTATGGGGAGATCTTAAACTACATATGTAGTTGTAAAGGTTGGAAAATTTACTGATCCTAATGGTAAGGCTTATTCACAAACGCAATACATTTTCAAATTACATTTCAAGAAAAAAAAAATTAACCTGCTCTCTAACAATATAAGAGCATTAGAGTCTAATGGGAAAAAAAAAACACAAAAAACATTGGCACCAAACCAGTATGCTATTTTTTGAAAGAACAAGTGATATTAATGAAAAAGATTGCCTAAAACGCATATTCTAACTTACCACAGAAATATAAAAGTTTATATTCTGAAAATATATACTGTATTAAAGTCTGTAAGCATTTCAACCAAAATTTGCAGAAATAACTAAGCGACACTTATCTACAACAAAAATATACATGCAAGACAACCCCCAAATGGTTTCCCTTAAATATCTACAAAGGCAAAGTGTAGATTTTTAAAGATTATACAAAACCATTTACAGAGAACAAAATAAAATACTTAAGAAATCTCATTTAGAGTCTTAAATACTGTGTATATTAGTGAGAGTGTCTAAACTAATATATACAACAGACCTAAGTATCTGAATATAGAAACACAAAGGAGAAGCAAGTTTGCATTTTAAATATTCACTTCGGAATATTTGAAGATGTTTGTATGTGTTTCTCTTTGTTTAAAAAAACTTCCACAGAAACGAGATTGTAAAACTGCATGAATGTAACTAAATTTCAAATTTTAAAAAGTTTACAAATTTTTAAGCCAACAGTTAATAATGGGAAATGCAATTCAGCATTCAGTGAAGGCTATTTTTAAATGTGGATATTCAGAGATACAGTTGCATTGATCAAAGTCTATTGTGATTATTTCTTTTCCATCCTTATACTAAACTTTAAATGGAAAAAACATATTTCCATGATTCAGAGAGAACATTTCCTAATTTAATCTAAATTGGACAAGAATAACATTTTAAATCATTCCTCTACTACCTTCTCAGAGTTATCCAATTTCATCCTTAAAGGGTAATTTTTGATGTTTTTTTGCCCACGGATATTATTCCAAAGCCAGAAGAGACACGTGGCTACATCAGCCTTAGTCGGTGGCTTCCAAATGGTGAGGAGCTCTGACCTCCTTCTACAAACAGCCTCTTGGAATTCGGCCGTTAACTCAAGTGTTTCCACTACAAGATGCTGATACCAATCTCCAGGGATCAGAGCAGAGAGGGAGAAGAGTTCTAATGCACGGCTAACAAGATGGCAAGCAGTGGGTTGCCTAGAAGGTTCCTTGACTGAAGAGGTACCCTTAACTTCCCACCCACAGCTGTTTTTCCAACCCCACGGGTAATTCTGGAATGTGGCTGCCAAAACAAGGCACAATTCCTCAAAGACTTGCCCAGGAATTGCAGACACAGTGGGGATGCAGGCAAAGCAGGGTAGAGAGTGAAGAAAAGGATCCTAGGGTAAAGAGAGGGTTCTGGGATAGAAGATAATGAGTGGAATCTGAGCCCTATTTCAAGACACATCCACAGATCTCGTACTTTCCATCCCAATCCAATGTTACCTGGATTTCATCTACACTTGATCAAAATAACTACCCAGAAAGTGAAAAAATCCAGAGCTTCAGTCTAAACAGATTTAACCAACTTTTGCCCACTTCGTGGAACATCCTTCTTGAATTGACAATATGAAAACAACCCAAACACAGATCATCGTTTGAAACACTTCCTGTTATAACCAGAACCTAGAAATTAAAGGGAATTCCACCTTAGTAATGGTTTCACATTCCTACCTTATCACCAGAGATCCTTGAAATGTTTATAAGTTTGGATTTGTGATATGTCCGAAGCTAAAATATTTCTGGTGTTTTCAGCAAGGAACAAAGATGGACATTGATCGAAAGAAATTTCCAAACATTCTCTTCCATCTCCAACAAGAATACTGACACTGCTTCTATGGTAAACACATCTGCCCCTAGAAGGTAAACAGAAAGCAAGGGTCTCTTTCTTTAGAGGATTTAGCAATGCTACACAGATGATCTGCCACCACACACAAGAATGAAGTTTGTCTAGGGGCTTCGGAGAAGCATACATTTGCTTTCTCAAAAGAAGAGAGAAAACCAAGTGGAAAGGTGATAATAGGCATTTAGGCAAAAGCAGGTGTTTCCCTATAATAATTCCCCATATTCTAGGTCTGCAGTTCCTACAGGATCCCATGTGGACAAAGGGAAGGGCACACAGATCTTCAATTTGATCTTCCTCTGGCTAGACTCAGCCAAGGTGACTACCCGCTCCCAGCTCCCCATGGCCCAGACTGCCTAGATGGAGGAAGGTAGAAGATAAGAAACATCATGAAGTCACGGAGAAACTCAAAAGTAGAGAGACTTTCTACAGAGGGAGCCAAGGCCATCTTAAGGATCAAGAGTCTAGATAAACTTCAGATTCACTGTCTAAAGGACCATGTCTCTAGTCATAGACTAGACACTCAACGTGTCTCTGAAACACAAAGCTCAGAGCCATAAGCCTCTCTATCTGTCTGGCCCATTGCATCTGGTCACCTTCCAGAAAGAAAAAGGAACATACGGAGATACATAACCAACCGTAGCAATGACCCTTCTTTGCTGAGCCCACCTCCCTTCCCCCAGCTATGCCCAACTCTAGCTGCTTCACTCAACTCTCCAAGGAAGGGTCATGAGAGACTGGGACTAACATAGGAAGAGAGAAGACCAGCGAGCAAAGAGCCTCTGAGGACACTCAGGGGTTGCAGAGTGAAGATAAAGCTCATCTCTGGTTTCTCTTAAGAACAAGGATTCCATCATTACACCAAGAACCATTCTATAAGCCAAAGACCTGGCACGGAGTGATTCCTTTCAGCCACAGACATCCTTCCATTTTTCTCTCTCTGAATTTTATTTCTACATGGTTGCTTGCTGCAGTGCACCAAACGGCATAAACTTCGTATGGGATTTGGTCCAGGGCAGTATGAAAATAGTATCTGTGTGAAGACAGATATCATAATATATAAACAAAAATAAATAAATTAAATAAGTCTGATTTTAAAGAAAAAAAAACATTTTCCTAGGAGTTTATGTTTTTGCAAAACTAGCTTTACATATAATACACATAAATTATCAGAATTTCCACTTACATTGTTTTAAAAATATATATTTAACAAAACATTCCTAAATATACAATATCTGGTTTTGTAAATCACTCGGGTGGGTTTTAAGACCAAGCCCTAAAAGTTATACAGATCTGCATCAGAGAGGAGACTGAGGATGGCTCTACACAATTGTTTTGCTCTTCAGTCTGGAAATTCCCTAAGATGGACTCTCTCCCTTCCCCGGATCTGCACTTAACCAGAACGAGCGTGCTGGCCCAGTCTCCAGAAGAGGCACTGTGCAGACACAGTCTGAGTCAGAAAAATGGGGAAACTGGTCTTCCCCTTCCTGGACTTGGATGGTGCATTTCAACAAGTGGGGGCAGAACAGTACCTGGCCGAGGCCTGGGAAGATATAGCCCTCATAGCTCTCTAGCCAGCGGGGTAGGGACACTGGGGAGGCCAAGTATACTGCATTTCCCATCTGTTACACAAAGTCAAACCAATGAAGAACAACCGCAAACAAAGAAATGAACACAACCCTAGGTATAGAGACACCTTGACAAACTCCTTGGCCGGGCTTACACTGGGCTCCGATTTCTGAAACACAGGGCAAAGCTGGAAGTCAAGTGCCCTTGATCACTGCGGCAAGTGAGCCGGGGCCCTTCAGACTTCGTAAATCTTGTCCTGCAGGTAGCTGAACAGGGAATCCAGGCCTTTGGAGGAACTCCAGAGCTGCTTCAGCATGAGGCATTCTTTCTCATTCACATCTTCAAGCACCGATTTCAGGAAACTGCGGACAAGGCATTTCGACTCCTCCAGCACCTGAAGGGAAAGGCAACAGGCCTCGTTAGCCAGGCACCAGGGACTCTGCTCCAGAAGAACGCACTTGGCCTGTGAGGCACCAGTCAACCTCCTGATGTCCAAAGGCAGAGGAGGCTGCCTACTGCAGTCCGGCTTTCCCAGGCCCATGTCCCCAGCAATGCCGGGAGTGGGTTCCAGGTGTGCCATGATGTTGAGCCCACACTCCCTAGGATGGCTGAGTGGGGCCCACATCATCCCCAACCCCAAGAGCTTTGTCTTTTAACCAAGGGAAACATAAACTTAGTATCACTTTCTATGGTGTCACAAAAAAGTTTCCAAAACACTACTTTCACCTCCTTCTGCTTCATTTTCATTATCTGTGAGACAGGAGTAATGATACCTAACTCAAGGATGGCTGGGGTCACAGAGTAAGGCAATGACATGAACTAAAGGTTGTCCAAGCATCCATCTGAGCCACCTCAACAATGCCTCTCTTTCAAGCTTAGTAGTAAGAGCAGTGGTAATAATGGTAGCAATCACTGTAATAATAGGTATAATTACAATAATTGTGAGAATGAGTGAGAATAAAATAGTAGTAAAACTATAGTATTAAAGAAGTAATAATAGTAGTAATTTGTTAAAGGAGTAATAGTAATGTCAATAATACAGTAGTGATAATGGTGACGATATTAGTAATACTACAGCATTAGAGCAGTAATTATGGTAATGATATTAGTAATGCAGTGGTTATAATAGTAACAATAATCATTGTAATGAATAATAACAATTGTGGTCATCATAGTATTAATAATACCAATACCACTACAATCACCATTAACCAATAAGGTCTATAGCATTACTTTTTCTTCATTTGTCATTTCTTGCTCATGAAAGCTCCACGAATAGGTGGTTTCCACAGGATAGATGAAGGACCTACACTCAATAAGTAAAGTTGCCAGAGTTGCCTGATGGACGTGGCGGCAAACATCTGGCTGATTCTAACAGGTTGCACTGCTGCCTCATTCTGGCAGAGGCTCTGCTAGGAGGTAAGCATCTGAGCATCCCTTCTTTGGCCTCCACCATCCTCTGCTGATGTCAGAGCTTCAGTTCTCACTCTCCCAAAGCGTGTTCACATAGAAAAAAGCAAGGCAAGAGCTCCCTTGCTCAAGCAGGCTGGGAAGGGGCTGTGATCTTATTCTTCAGCCTGGGCTAGAGGCGAACAGGCAGTGAGGATGGGCTGGCAAACCAAGATGGTGTCTTTCCTTCCAAAAATTCCTCTGAAGAACACCATCTCCCAAAGGCTGTGGGGTAGATTCCTTTCTTGTGGAAATCAACCCAAAGCTCCTGAATTCATAAACATGAACAGGAGAGGTTTCCTGGCTGTATTTGACAGCTGGTTTCACCTGAAAACCTCCATTGCCCAAAGACCAAACTCCTCAGTGGGGCTTTGAGGCCTTTCTCCCAACCTTCCTTTTCACGATTTGTCCCTTGACTGCCCTGGGCACCTGCTCACACCACCATGTGTTGCTACCTAACCTCTCCATAGGTCTTGAAACTCGTATGCTCTAACTCATGCTGCTGCTGCTTCTTAGAATTGCTACCTGCCTCTCCAAATTGGAACAGAAAAAGTAAAATTGTCATTATATGTGGATGGCCTGATATTCTATATGAAAAAGCATAAAGACTCCATCAAAACACTGTTGGATCTAATAAATGAATTCAGTTAGGTTGCAGGATACAAAATTAATATTCAGAAACACGTTGCATTTCTATACATTTAAAAACAATCCCATTTACAATTGCACCAAAATGAATAAAATATCTAGGAATAAATTTAACCAAGGAGATTAAACACCTTTACTCTGAAAACTCTTAAGACATTGATGCAAGAAACTGAAGATGACACAAATAAATGGAAGGATAGACCATGCTCATGGTTTGGAAGGATTAACATTTTTTAAATGCCCATACTATCCAAGGCAATCCACAGATTTAATGCAATCCCTACAAAAATGCCAATGACATTTTTCATAGAATCAGAACAATAATCCTAAAAGAATTTTTTAAAATATTTTTATTGATTTTCAGAGAGAGAAAGACAGAGAGAGGGAGGGAGAAACACCAATATAAGAGTGAAACATTGGCCGCCTCCCCTACTGTGTATTGAGCCTGCAATCTGGGCATGTGCCCAGACCAGGATTCAAACAATGCTTCAGTGCACAGGACGATGCCCAACCAATCAAGCCACACTAGCCCGGGCAATAATCCTAACATTTATATAAAACCACAAAGACCCCAAATTGCCAAAACAATCTGGAGGAATAAGAACAAAGTTAGAGATATCATGCTCCCTGATTTCAAACTATACTATAAAGCTATAGTAATCAAAACAGTATAGCACTGGCACAAAAACAAATAGATCAATGGAACAGAACAGAGAGTCAGAAATAGACCCACAATTCTATGGTCAATTAATCTATAACAAGGGAGGCAAGAATATATAATGAAGAAATGGCAGTTTCTTCAATAAATGGTGCTGGGGAAACTGGATAGATACAAAAAATGAACATGGACCACCTTCTTCCTCCATATACAAAAATAAACTCAATATCATAAAACCCCTAGGAAAAAACTTAGGCAGTAAACTCTCTGACTTCAGTCTCAGATATATTTTTTTTGTATGTCTCCCTGAGCAAAGACAACAAAAGCAAAAGTAAAAAAGTGAAATTATATCAAATTAAAAAGCTTCTGCACAGGAAACCATCAACAAGAAGACTACCCACTGAATGGAAGAAAATATTCACAGAATATAACTCAGTGGTCGCCAACCCGTGGTCTGCGAACCACTGAGATCCGAAAGGTTGGTGACCACCGCTGTATCTTATAAGGGATAAATACTCAAAATATTTATATAAGGAATTCACAGTTTAACACACACACACACACACACACACACACACACACACACACAAAAGACCCAACAAACAACCCAATTAAAAATGGATGAATAGATATTTCTCCATAAAGGACATACAGATGGCCAAAAGACATATGAAAAGATTCTCAACATCACTAATCATCAGGGAAATATAAATCAAAACTACAATGAGATATCACTTCACACCTATCAGAATTGCTATTTTTTAAAAAGCCAACAAATAAGTGTTAGTGAAGATGTGATGAAACTGGAACCCTCATGTATTGTTGCTGAGGTTATAAATTAGTGTAGCCATGGGGAAAATGGTATGGAAATTCCTCAAAAAATTTAAATATAGAACTGCCATACAACCCAGAAATTCCACTTCTGGGTAGCTATTCAAAGAAAAGAAAACATTAATTCTAAAAGATATATGCAGCCCTGTGTTCACTGCAGCATTATTTAAATAGCCAAGATATTAAACAACCTAGGATTCCATCAGTAGATGAATGGATAATGAAGATTATACACACACACACACACACACACACACACACAATGAAATATTATTCAGCAAAAATAGGATGAAATATTACCATTTGTAACAACATAGATGGACTTACAGGGTATCTATGCTAAGTGAAATAAATCAGACAGAGAAAGATAAATACCATATGATTTCACTTATATGTGGAATCCAAAGAACAAAATAAACAAACAAAACAAAAACAGACTCATAGATACAGAGAACGAACCGATGGTTGGCAGATGGCAGGAGGGTTGAGGGACTGGGTGAAAAAGGTAAAAGGATTAAGAAGTACAAATTAGTAGTCACGAAATAGTCACAGGGATATAAAGTATAGCATAGGGAATACAGTCAATAATCTACAATAATAAAAGCATGATATGCTAATTAGACCAGACAGCCAGACAACCTCCCAGATGTCCTTCCAGATGACCTTCTGGACAAAGCCATGACTGCAAGGGCCTGAGGCAAGCCACCGTAGCTGCGAGGGCTGAGCCCCTTGCATGAATTTCATGCACTGGGCCTTTAGTATTATAATAATTATGTATGATGCCAAGTGGGTACTAGAATTATCAGGGGAATCTCTACATAAATTACATAAATGTCTAACCACTATGCTGTATACCTAAAACTAATATAAAATAATATTGAATATCAAACTAATTAAAATATTAAAAACACAAATAAAAAAATAAACAAAACCAAAAAGTAAACAAAACACAGTAACAACAGACTCAGAAACAGAGAACAAACTGATGGTTGCCCAAAGGGAACAGGGTAGGGAGATGGGTGAAAAAAGTGAGGGGATATGACATACAAACTTCCAGCTATAAAATAAATAAGTCAGGGGGATGTAATTAATGTGCAGTGCAGGGAACAATTAATAATATTGTAATAACTTTGTATGCTGACAGATGGGGTACTAGACTTACCAGGGTGATCACTTTGTAAGGTATATAAATGTAGAATCACTATGTTGTACACCTGAAACTACTATAATATTGTATGTCAACTATACTTTTATAAAAATATTCTTTAAAATGTCCACCTGCCTATGCAGCTGACTCTAGGGTCATCAACCATCTCCATTTGCCCAGGCCCAGGGGGTTTCCTGGGAACAAGGGATTATCCATGTTAAAACTAGGAGAGTCCCAGGCAAATGGGCACAAGTTGGTCACCATAGTCCTCAGAAAGATTAAAAGAGAATCCATATAAAGAGAATCCATAGTAAGTGTTCATCAGTAATGCAGAACCATCATCACCACTGGCATAGTCACGCTTCCAGGGAAAAGAGTTTACATACAGTAGGTGCCCAATAAAGGCTGGTGGGTGGAATCAGGAGTGTACAGCAGCTCAGTGGGGGTTCAGGATAGGCAGGGAGAAGGGAGGGAGGGTCACAGGTCTGGCCCCATTAACCCAGCACAGAAAGCGTCCCCCCGGCTTATTCTACAAAGCTTTCTCATTTCCTGAGCAGGCCCTGTGGTTGCAGGGGTGGCCTTTCCTCCACCTCTCAACAGGATATTTCCACACGGTGCTCAGAGTGACTTTCATGAGATAAAATCAACACTTAATTAAAAATCGGCGCCTCTGAAGAGGTGTCATTTATTTATCTATTTTTCAGTGTGTCTTCAGAGTCAAGCAGCAATGCTTGAATGTGCCAAGTGCTCGGTGGGCAGGAGAAATACAAGGACCATGTGGGCTGCTTCCTCTCGTCCCTCGGCTGGTTTCACACACTTTGCCCTTATTTGCCTTTGCTTATTGTTTCTTTGAAAACTATAGTAGTTTTGTGTCAGGGAGGGTGTTGAGGACTTTCTTTTAAGGCAACACCTTCTTCCCCAGAGTGTAAATCTCTTCTGTGAGGTTTTTCCAATTGGAAATGATGGGGAATATTAATAATGCTGGCTGCCTCCCTCCGGATTTAAGGTCTCAACACTGAGACAAGGCATCTGGTAAATTACACAGGGCCTCTCAAGTACTCCCTGCATGGCCTGTAGCAAGTCCATTAGTCCCTGTCAGCTCATTGCTTTCATCTGCAGAATGGATCTCTCTCTTTGTGTTTTTTTTTAATGACTTCAGAGAGGAAGGGAGAGGCAGAAAGAGAGAAGCATCAATGATGAGAGAGAATCACTGACTGGCTGCCTCCTGCACGCCTTCTGTTGTGGATCAAGCCCACAACCCGGGCATGTGCCTTGACCAGGAATCAAACCATGATCTCCTGGTTCATAGGTCAATGCTCAACCACTGACCTACACCGGCTGGGCTCTTGCACTGACAAGAACACAGAGAAACAGGACTCACCAGTGCACTGCAGGACGCCATCTCCTTGACCCGTAGCATGACCTCCTGGCTGAACGTGGTTGGCCAGAAGACCTGGGACACCAGTCCTCTGCTGCAAGCCTCCTGGGCAGTGAGCTTCCGCCCACAGAAGAGCATCTCATTGGCCTGAAAAAGCAATGAGAAGGCTGAGAGCCCAGAGGACCTCTCGTGTCTGCTAGTGATGCCCGTGCTTGCTGTAAGTGTTCCAGGTCTGGAAGGCAGGAGTCTCAACCGGGTCCAATAAGCTTTGGAAACTATAATCAAACATTGTGTCTACGTGCAACTTTCTGAGCAAAGGGTCCACAGATTTCATTAAATTCCCAAAGAAGCCATGTATCTACTGTTGCTTTGTTTGCCGAATTACCCTCCACCTGTCTGGCAGCAGACCCACAGAAGTACGCACACACCTCCGACTGGGTGCATTTCTGTGCTGCGTGGTGACTGGCCTGGGGTTGACCAGATGATCCACCCTAGCCTCTATGGGGTTTCCAAGCTGAAGGCCCTGGGAAGAATCTTTCTCCTCTGGCTGCTGGCAAAAGTCAATGAGCCCAGGCCACCGACTGCTGTGTCCCCGCTCTGTGGAGAGGCAGGTCCACAAAGAAGGAAGGAATGGAGAACAAGAGAACTGACAGTACTTGAATTCCTGGACTCATCACCCACCAGGGACATTCCATTTCTAGACTTGTCAGTTATGGAAATCATTATTCTTTCCCCGGCTCCCCTCAAGGCAAAGTGTTTTCATCACTGGCAGCCAAAAAGGTGTTGTGTAACTAACACCATAACACAACACAGAGCAATGTCTCTCCTGGTGGCCCAGGGCTGTGCACAGACACTGCCCAGTCTTGAAAGGTGGAAAGTAACCCCTGCCTTCTGAGGACTCCTCTGCACACCACTCCCCACAGAATTTCCTTTTGCTTTGAAGTTCACAGCTGTCATAGGCTTCTGGGAGGACCTCCGTGGATAAGGTCCTAGGCACAGAGAGAGCATAGTGCTATCACCGCTGAAATTTACCAACAGGTGACTCTCGCACTGAAAATTAGGGCATGATGGTCATGGCCATGTGACAGGGTCCTTATCTCTTTCAGGATGAGTCCCTACCTCCTTCACAGGGCAGGCAACCTCTCCCTAATGGGCCATCCACCTGCCTCCCCTTCTTCCTTCCTGCCCCATACGCTTAGCTGCTCCATGATAGACATGGAAATGCCAAGCTCCCTGAACCTCTGCATCCATGCCCTGCTTCCCGCTTTGTTCTGGTTGTCACTGATGGGTCATGATTGACCCAATTGACCCAAAGGACAATTTTTCATGCCAGAGTGGAAAACCTGATCAGGTCACCAGTCCACAGAATGCATCAGGTTAGAGGTTGGAAGACAAATATTTATGTCTTCCAACAAATTATACTTATTTAGGAACACCTCGGTCTCAGGAGAAACGAAAGGAACTCAGTAGAAGGAGCCAAACAGGATGCAGTCCACAAGAAGAACAAGTCTCAAACAGCCACATTCTTGGGGTTTCAGAAATGATTGCAATGAAGGAGAAAAAGAGATAAGACTGTACAAAGTTAACATTTTCTGTGACCACAGAGGACGGGAGGAACTGGAGTGGCAGTGAGCTGGGGCAGAACACAGTGGCTGAGATCAAAAGGGAAAGTGTTGCTTCCCAGGCTCCCTGCCTGCCTCATTTTTCTGCCACCGGTGAGACTGAGCAGCCTAGAGCAGCCCCCAGGGCACTGCTGAATCCGAATGGCCTTATCTGTCCCCACTGTAGGTCCTGCTGCATAGATGTGGTGCTGGTGGGTTTGAGGGCTGAGGGTAACCTCTGCTGGTATCTTAGTTGCTATTCCTGCTTCATGCTACCATCAAAGAGAGACACCCCACACAGAAGCAGTGGGAGGGCGGGCTCCCATCCTTCTAAACTCATTCAAGCAGTGCCCCTGCTGGGAGCCTCCTCACCTGCCCGTAGGATTTGGCCCTGTCATCTGGATCGTAATTCTTTGGTAGTTTTCTGGGGTCTCCCAGGACCACCAGCATCTGCAGGCAGAGTGCTCCCAAGCAGTCCTTGGTGAAGCCTGTACCATATCGAATCCATCTCAAAATGCCACCTCTCAGACTGAGTAGACCAACCACTTCCAGAACACTTCCTATATCCTAGTGGTGGTAGTCTCTCAGACTCACTCATCAGAGGTAGGTTCCATTTTATAGCATACTGGTTAAGAGCACAGGCTCTGTGTTCATATTCCACAACTTCCATTGCTACTGTGTGCCCTGAGACAACTCACTTAACCTCTCTGATTCTCAGTCTCCACATCTGTCAAGAGGGGATAACAGTAGTCCTACCTTACAGGTGTGTCTTGAGGATGGAGTGAGTTAATGGCTGTCAAGCACTAGCCCCAGTGAGTGCTCTCTGAGCTGTTATGACTCACCCCTGCCCAGACTTGCTTCTAGCTGCTGGTGTAGAGTCTGACCACAGCCTACAGTGGGTGCTATGACCTTGCATGAACACCACTCTGCCTGCTTATGAGATGGCTTACCAGCGCGACACCCAGGATCTGGGGGAAGGTGTACGAGGAGCAGCCGGCGGGCGTGAGGCGGATGGTGGCATAGGGGGTCTGAAACCAGGCCTTCTCGCTGGCCCACACGATGTCGCAGAGGGGCAGGATGGAGGCACCCAGGCCCAGGGCAGGCCCGTTGATTGCCACCACGATGGGCTTCTTAAACTGGATAAAGGCCTTCACAAAGTCCCTGGGGAAAAGAGAAGACCCTCTTTAACAGGTGGCCAGGCTTGCTGAGACCAGGTGATGCCCTTGGTTGTCATGAGGCTGAAATAAGCTTCCCCAGGTGCAGTGAAGCACGTGTAGGTCCTCAGAGAAGAGTGGGTGCCAGGCCAGCGTCACATTCTCCCAGATGTTGGGCCACTGAGCTGCAGTCTAAGGCCTGCCACCCTCTCAGGTTGGTGCCAGGTTCCCAGAAGGGACCTAATGGGTGACCACATGTCTGGGTCTGCCCAGATGGCCCCAGGTCATGCCCATTGAGTCAACACTGCCCTTTCACTCCCTACACACTGACAAAAACTGTACATATCCCAAAAAAGACAACCTGAATGTTAAGATTCAGAATCAGAACTCGAACCAAAAAGAGGGTGTTACAAAGAGGCATATTTGAACTCAAGGAGAGAAGGAACATTCCAATGGCACTGGCTGAAGGTGGGGTGATGGCTCCAGGAGGTGTGAATTCCTCATTATTGGAGATAACCTTGGCTCGATGATAACTTTAGGTGAAATTATAGAGAGAATTCAAGCTTCGGATGGTGGGCATGGGTAGGGATTGGTGACATCTAAGATTTCTTTCAATTCCAGGAAAGATTCTGAATTGCTAAAGGGATGCCAGATTCTCAAGGGTAGTTCTAGAATGCTGATGAGGGTCTATGTGTTAGGGTGACCAAAACTGAGGAAAGACACTGGACTCCCCTGGAGGCATTATCTGGAATAATGGCTACAGGATTAGGCAATATTTTATCTCCCTGACCTTCTGCATTGAGCAAGGTTACAGCCTGCATCTTTATCTATTATGCAGAGCCACCCGAAATAACCTCTATTTCCTTTACCTTCGACACTTGTTGCCTCCCTGCTACTTGCTATATAAGACCTATAAAATTTTAATATTCAACCTGACATGGAGGAAAGATCCAAGGTGTCTAGAAAATCTACATCCTTCATTATTCTCTGGTGATACACTGGAAACTACCAAGAACTCACAAGAATAAAATCCAAACTCCCAACAGTGACCTTGTTCTACCGCTGCTTAGGACTCCAGGCTTATATCGTGTCTACGCACCCCTGCTCTCTGTGCATGAGGGGCACAGCCCTTCTGAGAGTTCTTGTAAAATAGCATTATCACAATTTGCAATTATCCTAATCGCTTGCTTGCTTAGTTGTTTTTAAATTCTCCTCCTCTCCAGCTCCATAGGAAAATCCATAGTTCTGCCTTGTGCACTGCGTGGTTTCATACATATTGAAATTAACACTCAGTAAATAGTTGTTGGATACAGGATTCTCCAAGAATGAGAGCAAAGACTGCAGATGTGTGGCAGTAAGATACTATTTCTTCAACAGACTTTATATACCCCCTTTCCCTTCTCTCTTCTTCCTGAGTCTATTGCAAGAACACATTTCCCAGCCTCCCTTGAAATTGGCTGTGGCCAAGTAACCTAGTGCTGGCCAAAGGAATGTGAGTGGAAACCATATACACACTTCTAAGCCTGTTTTGTGGAAACCTCTCACCATGCAGTGCTCCCAGTCCTTTTCATCTTGATGGGCATGGCAATTGTATTGAGCCACAGGATAGAAGGAGTCTGGGTTCCTGAGTCATCACTTTGAGGCCAGCCATGGGCTCATCAGTAACATCTATTTTAGGTTCACATAAGCTAGAAGTAAATTCCTATCACAACTGAGCCATCATATATATTTGGGTTTGTTTGTTACAGCAGCTAATACTTAACTAATACAAATGTAAACCTGATTCATCCCTTCTCAATGGTTACCATCCTCCCCAATTCTTATCAAAATATGTGCTTATCATGGTGATATGTTGGGACTTAATTCAATTGTGAAAAAACTTCTTAATATTCTGCTGGGGTTGGGGGTGCCTTATGACCCATATGTTTTCATGAAAGAATACACCCTTGACCCAGGCTTGAGGCATCACATTTCCTGACTCTTGTATGATTCTGTGAGTAGATGATGGATTATCCCAGCCACTTCTGGCCCCAATGCAGCTGACCCCAAAATGACACTGCCACAAAGAGGAGTGTTGTCACCATGGCCTTCTGATTTCCAGTTTTCCAGGCCCACTTCCTGGTTTGATTTCCCAACCTGATGGTCTCAGTCCCTGGTTTTAACAAGGGCTATTTACCAAATGCAATTTGGAGTCTGCAGGGATATGGGGCTTGTTTGCAGGATCCTAGGACCCACAAGGTTGGGTGATTTTTGACATACGTTCCATTCCTAAAGGCACTCGCTCAATTACAGGATCCTGGATCTCAGAGTGGGAAGGACTTCAAAAGACTTCGAGACAAATCTTCCACTTGGTACGGAATTCTCCCCACAGCATCCTGAGGGTGCATCCTCTGGCCCCTGTTGGACATTTTCAAACACGTGGGTCCTTCCTTATCAAGACACCTTCCTATTGTGACTTCATGTGGTCTCTCTCATACTTGCATTCACTCTGCTCCATCATCCACATGACAGTCCTTCAGGAATTCAGCTCCACTCTCATCACCTTCCAGAAGCTTTCCCTTCCAGACCCCAGAGCCTTTTCCTCTTTGGTTTCCAACCTGAGTTCCATGCAGGGGGATCAAGGGCCCCAGAGAAGGGCTAAGGGGACTAAATGTGCATGACTCCCCCTACCCCTCCTGCAGTCCAAGAAGTTCATTTCCTTGACATAAAAAGATGATGCACAGACCATCTCCCCATCCTTCTCCTCTCACCTCAAGCGGATCTCTATCACAAGGGCCCGGAGGGTGTAGAAGCCAGATAGCAAACAGGATATTGCATTACAGACGCTGCTGCTCAGATATCTGATTCTGACTTGGATGGCGGGGCTGCGCTAGGGAGATGACTCCCCGTCTTCCCCAGCAGCCATGTCTGCCGCGCTGACACTGGCCCTTGAGGCTTCCTCCACTCAACCTGAGTCTGTGGCTTTTGCTTGCCTGAGCTGTTGGGCTGTTCAGAGGCAGCAGAAGGAGCAAAAACGTGGGGGTCTTAAAGACTTGCGGTCAAGTCCTAACTGTGCCCCTAAGTAGGGGTGAGATCTTGGATGAGTTACAGTCTCTGCAGCCTCATTTTCCTACTGGGAAAATGGGAAAGCCACTGGTGCATCCCCACAGGCCATATGAGGATTGCATGAGATGTCCACGCAGGGCACCGGCACAGTGCCTGACACAGGGGCACCCTTGATCGCTGCTGCGGAGCATGGATGCAGCTTTCATTCCACATTCAGTGGTCTGTGAGCCACACTCCTGGTCTAAAGGAGACTCAGAAGCAACATTCTGCTCACAGGGGTGTCTGGATTTTACCAGAAGCAATTGGCATTTCTTTTGTGAGCCAGTTATTCATTCCTTTTAACCAGAGCCATGGGGTGCAGCCCTCCCACTGCCAAGTCTGCTGGTACAGGGCCCATGAGCTCCCAATATACGGGCACTCTGGGAGCTCACCCCATTGTCAGACTCAGGCTTAGCTAAAACTGGGAATAACATGAAAAATAATTTTTTATACCTCTTCCAAGTACTTATGATGTGCAGGAACAGGCCAAGTATTTCATGTGGGTCATCTGATTGCTCTTCATCCTAGCACCCCGCCAGCAGGCCACCACATCACCTGTGAGGAGTTCAGGTGCGGGCAGCCTCTTTCAAGATGGGGCAGACAGCTTTGTTTGGGGCCCAGGGAAAGGCTTCTGCAGAATGAATCATCCCAGCTTTCCCCACATCTGCTAGCTCATTCAGCAAACATCTGCAGAGTGAGCGCAGTGCACAGGGTCATGTGTAGGAGCGCCACTGGGGGAGCGATGGCTGTGGCCGTGGGGCATGCTCAAGATCCTGCAGGTCAGCGCAGCCCAGCCCATGCACGTCCCAAGAGAATTGTGAGGCATCTCAGTAGATGATAGGTTCTGTGGCTAAAATATGTTTCAGCCATGCTCGATTTTGAACAACGTTCTTTCCCAGGAAACTACTGAGACTGTAAATATGTTAACATGCCTGGGAAGTCTGTGTGAGCGGGGACAGAACTTCTAGCGTGGCCCAAACTCAGTTACGACAGTGCCCTTTGCTCACGATGCTCCTCTGGAAATCTGAAGATCGTTCTCTGGGAAATGTTTCTCTGCCGCATCGTGTCCCCCAACTCTAGAGTGTGGCTGCTGGAGGGAGCACTGCAAAGCCCGTGGAGCTGGGCCTCCCTGGAGGTGTGTGGTGGTGATGAGCAAGCCACAGTCCCTTTCTGACCCAGGGACACCCTTCTCCACTAGGTGTCCCTTCTTGAGACTCCTCACCCTCCCTATCCCTTCTATTACCTTCCTCTTCACCTTATTCTCTTATAGCCAACTTTCTTCTCTTGCATAAAAATAAGGACCGTTTTGTTTCCACACCTTTTAGTGCTCTCAGTCACTGGTGCTCTCAGATTACCCTCTTGGTTGGGATGGAGCAGGGGTTCGCAGCCCTGGCTGCACATTCGAACCACAGAGGGAACTCTAAAACCAAAGACATGCTGGCCCCACCCCATGCTCATTAACTCAGAATCTCCTGGGGGTGCTGCCAAGCAGTTGGGTTTTGAAAAGCTCCCTGGGGAGAGTCTCTGTGCTGCTGGGGCTGAGAACCAGTGGCCTAGGGGACACCCCATTCCCCATCCCTCCCGCGTCCCTGGCGGCTCATGCATTATGAGCTTCTGCTCCCTTTGACACACTGGGAAGAATTCCCGCAGCCCTCTCTCCCTCCACTCGGCCTAAGAGAAACTCACCTTCCCGATGAGAGGGCAAATGTTTAAATGCCACTGGCTGCCTTTCTCCAGCAGTGAGCTAATGTGCTCAGCATCTCCTCAAAGTTGGGACCGCCAGAAATTAGCTAATGCCTCTGCAGAAATTCATAAGCCAGACGAAGGCTACGGCCAAGGTGCTCCTCAGCTGTAGAGAGGGGCGCCCCATCTCCGATGGTCCCGTAAACGAGGAAGGAGGCTTACTGGGGACCCTGCTGCTCCCCTGCCACTTGACAGGAGCAGAGAACAAAGCACCGTGGCCATGGCCAGGGCTGTCTGCACCTGGAGAGCCTGAGAGCTGCATGAAACCACATGCTTTTTCTAATAACATCATTCGGGATTTTCGTGTCTCTTTTGGGGGAGACACGAATTCTGCAGCAGGAAGCACACAGGTGTTTGGAGCATAGACTCCAGTGCGTGCATCACCCTGATTGGGACACAGAACCCCACGTACGTGTGAGGCCACCCTGTGTCATTTCTTGGAGACTCTGCATACCCTGAAAGCCTCCCACAGCCTTATGGGAATCAGCCTCCGTGTGACGATGTCACACCACACTGAGGCTGGAGGGTCGACAAAATTCCTAACCTGTGGCCCAAGGCTCCCTGACAGCCTGCAGAGTAAGTGTTCCTTCTCAAGGGACCAGGGAGCATTACTGAGCTGTGACTCCTGTTTGAGCACTTTGCAAGGTGAGCAGTGAGTGTGGGTGCGCTCCCCGCGGGGAGGACAGGCAGCAGCCCTTGCTGGAAATCACACTTGCTTTTGATAAATCTCTAAAGAAGGGGGACATCTACCCGTTAGTGTCCCAAAAGAGATACTGATGGTTGGGATCAGATATCACCCCAGGATCCCAACTTTTGTCCCAAAGGCAACAAGAGAGGGGGAAATACTCCCCATACTGCCCAGGGAACCCATCCATCCTCCTCCCCGGTGCTGAGCCATGTCAGCTCCAGGAACAGAAATGCCCAGAAAGTCAAAGATTTCACCATCAGACAGAGGGCAGGAGAAGTGTGGATAATGCATGGGCACTACCAGATGCTGGGCTGGATATATGAAAATAAAATATTTGGGGGATCAAAAGAATAAAATGCAATCTTACGGAGTAAAGGCATCCCTGATTTGGGCAGGCAAATACGGGACGTTCAATAAAAGTCCAAATTTTAGATAAACAACACATATTTTTTAGTATAAGTATGTTGCATGGGACATACTTATGCTAAAAAACAAACATTATTTGTTGTTTGAAGAGTTTAACTGAGCAGCCTGTATTTTCATGTGCTCTATTTGGCAATCCTAGGTGGGTCCCCTAGTGTCTGAACAGGAGCAGAGCTCACCTGATGGATTCTGCAATGCGGGTGCTCTCCTTTCTCCGGTCGCTGGACAACCGGCCAATTAGGTAGGAGTAATCCAGGCCGCTGCAGAACACGCTGCCCACCGCACTGAGGAGTAGCAGTTTGCTGTCATCTGTGGCCGCGTTGCACAGAGCTCGCCGGACCTCCTTCATGATCTGCGGGCAGATATGGATTTGTGGAGATGTTAGATGTGTATCTGGAAGCCAGGGAAAAGGTGAGAAAATCTGCTCTGTCTGAGCAGGGAGCCTCCCCTGAATGTCCAGACCTAGCAAAGAAACAGCAAAACCAGAGCTCCCCTACACCCTCCCTGAAGCCGGCATGGAAGGCTGAGAAGGTGGCAGAGGGGTTACTGGCTGCAGACTTGGAAGCCTGGCTTGGAGTCCTTTAATCCCTGGTAACTCTGCAAATCTTCCAGCATTTGCTTGGTTAGCCCTTTTCAAGGTGAAGGGGAAAATTCCTGTGAACAGCAGGTGAGTTATGTAAGCTATCTCTAAAAGGCCAAATTAATTCTATACTCTTGTTCATCCTTAATTCAACAAAGACCCTTACACAGCCTATGGGTGGGAAGTGGGCTTTGCCATCAGAACCATAAAATGTTCAAGGTACCAGGCAAATAACCATCCAACATAAATTCTGTATCTAGCTAAACTATCATTCAAAGGCAAGGGTAAATAGTAGGCATTTTCAGTAAAAGAATGTTTACCACGCTTAGACTCTCACTGAAAGAACTGAAAAAGGATGCACTTCAAGAAGGAAACTACATTCAGAAGAGAAAAAAAAACACACCTGACATTCAAGAAACAAAGCCACCAAAGAAATGGGTGAATGTATTGATAAATCAATATAAGAACTGATGATAAAAATCACCATACTGATATTGACTAATGGGGGGTGGGTGAACAAGGTAGATCTATGGTGCTGGGCACTAATATTGTGTCAGATGAGAGAAGGGGTGACCAGAGTTAGAGCATGCATAGATTATGTATCAGGGAGAGATGGACAAGTAACGATTACATTTAGGTTTTACTATGTGAACATAACATGGATAACTTCTTAAATTTTCATAAACTCAATCATTCATTCCAACAGAAGTTATGGGACAAGAAAAAATAAGCTCAGAAAGCTGGGTAAAGCTGAGAATGACTTAAGGGAGACAATAAGTGAGTAGGCTTTTATTTTATTTTAAAGATTTTTTATTGACCTTTAGCGAGAGGGGAAAGGAGAGAGAGAGAAACATCTGTGTGAGAGAGGAACATTGCCTCATATCAGGGATCGAGCCCACAACCCAGGTATGTGCCCTGACCAGGAATTGAACCAGCAAACTTTCAGAACATGGGATGACACCCAACCAACTGAGCCACACCAACCAGGGTGTGAACAGGCTTTTAAAGAATCATTGATTATTCAATCAGCATAATCATAGGCTATAGTGTTGAAATGTTCTGAAAGTACTATTTTTTAAATATACTTTTTAGAGAACCCCCATTTATTAAGCACTTAGAGGTACGAGTGTAATTTCCACACAATATTTTATTCCAAACAGAAATCCTGGAAGGGAATGGCATCCCGATTTTATAGGTAGAGCAAGGAAAACTCAGAGAAGTGAAGTTGTCCAAAGTCACCAGTAACAGGCAGAAACCACGATGCAAATCTCACCCCAACATCCCTTCTCTTTCTCCTACCTTCTCTTTCCACTGCTCCCCACTGTAGGATAACTTACGTAAATGGATGAATTTGAGTAAAAAAACAGCTAGACGTCCACCTGAATCAGGATCTGCCGGCCCATGCGCGCTCTGTGAGAAGGATGGGAGAAGCACTTTCCACTCTCACAGGGTGTAAGCCACAGAATCCCATTTTGAACATCTAAAAAGGTAACAGGCCACTATCTTGTGGGTCTTTTCATCTATCTGCCTCCAAAAGCAGACAGTCTGACCCACACGAGAATCTGTGTAAGGCGTGATTCTACTCACGACTCAGAGAGTAGTCTCTCTCTGAGGTCATACTTGCTTGTCAATGAGTAAAAACACAAATTCAAACGAACCACCTCCTTTGTGAATTAAATGGAAAGCAAATTTGTGTTTTGTTGATGCAACAAATGTACAAACTACATTTCTTAATTTTTTTAAAAAAAAATTGTGTTTAGTGAGTATACTATGCCTTTGCCTGTCTCATGTTGATAATCCAATTTGGACTGATGGCTGGGGACCTTCTTTGAAGGACCTGACTTTTAAAATGTAACTGGTTTGTTTAAAGTAAAATGTGTTCAAAGCATCACCCTCCTTTACCTTCTTACACAGAATACACTGCCCACGTGTCACTACTCGGTGGCCACTTGCTGGCCTGAAACAGACTGTTCCCCTCAGGGGCTCCTGGGTTTGCCTCTAGAACAAACGCCCCCAGACCTCTCTGCATATTAAAGCCCTAAATCTGTTTGTGAGAATTATTCCCCTCGTTACACACATGCCAGCTGCCACTTGCTCCTGCTTAGTGTCCACTAGAGGAAGCATCCTCCTCCCCTGCTACTTCTAGCTACTGACCTGCCGTGGGTTGGAACCAGATAACCAAATGCATTCGAAGGGGTGTGAAATGCGAGGAAATCAGGGTCCCCCTCTCCACTTCTTCTTTACTTGCTTAGCTCAGTGACCCAGGGCCCACCTCCACTGCAACCACCTTCCTGAAGGCCTTCCCACATTTACCCAAGCAAATGCACACTCTTCCTTCTCCTGACAGCCCAAGTGTTTAAACTCCCTGCTCTGACATTCTCCCTTGTCGAAGGTACATCCTTACCTTATCCTGCCTCCTCCCTAATGTAAATCCCTGTGTGGGCAGCCTCGGTGCTGGCCCTCAATAACCCTTTCCTCTGATATTCACACCCCTGTGTAACCCCCAACCCTGGAGTGCAGACCAGACCCGGTGACTCACTTCTAGCCACGAGAATACAGCGAAGTGATGGGATGTCCCTTTCACGAGGAGATTCGGATACAAAAAGACTATAGCTTGTCCTGGTTCTCTTCTCTTGCTGACTCCCTTTCTTAGAGCTCTCAGTCTGGGGGAAGCAAGCAGCCAGCTAGTGAGTAGCTCATGGAGCCATTACTCCATAGTCCACGTGGAGTAGCTGCATAGCAAGGCACTAATGTCTCTGGCCAGTGAGGACCTGAGACCTGCCGACAGTCACTGGGGAAGCTTGGAAGTGGATCCTCCTCTGTTGAGCCATTGGTTGAGGCTGCAGCCCCAGCCAACTCCTTGACTGCTGGCTTGTGAGAGACACTGAGCCAGAAGCATCAGCTAAGCCATGACTGGATTCCTACCCACAGATACTGTGAGATAATAAATGTTTGTTGTCTTAAAATGCTAAGTTTAGGGCACGTTGTTATGCAGTAACAGATTAATACAATCCTTTAATCCTACCAGACCTGAGGTCCTGAACCTAACTGTCCCCTATACCTGGGCTCCTGAGCATTAAAGAGAAAAAACCAACATGACATAGAAAAATGTTAGTTACATGCAAACAAGTGGCTAGAATAAGATGGAACTTGGAGACATTGTAGAAAATAGGTCTACCTTTCATCTACCTTTCATCTAGCGCCAATATTCCACCTTTGTGTGGAAATTACCGAAAAATCGGTACAGCGGTCTGGTAGGGTTAAGAGGTAAAATAGTATTCTACTTATCTGAATAACCCTTGTAACACCTAGTCCAGAAATGTGCACATACTGGAATTTAATAAATATTTATTAAATTGGGCGAATGGCACAGTATCCAACCTTCAAAAGGTTTAGAGTCTAATGGGGGGAATGAGATATTTAACAGATTATCACACAATTACATATACACTAACAGCTGCAATAAGTTCTGGTAAGGAGGGGTGCACGGTGCTAGGAAGGCATATGAAAGACCTGATCCGGTCAGGGAGGTGAGGCAAGACTCTCTGGTGGAAGTGATGGCTGAGCTGAGATATGAATGAAGAGCAAAGGTCAGCTAAGTAAAAAGGAAAAGAAAATTTTTTTGGTCAGAAAGACAAGTATATACAAACGTGCTGGGGCAGATGTGAGCATGAAGAAAGGCCAGAGTAACTGGAATGCAAGAGGAGAGAAGAGTGATGTGTGATAAGAGATGGAACTGGAGAGATGGGCAGGGTCAGAATGCATCTGCCCCCAGGCCACATTATGGTTTTTGATTCTTAACAAGAGCGATCAGAAGCCACTGATGTGTGTACGTGTGTGTGTGTGTGTGTGTGTGTGTGTGTGTGTGTAGACAATATAATTTGATCAGGTTAGCTCTTCCAACTGATCACCCTGCCTACCCTGTGGTGAGTGGATTAAAAGGCAGGACATGTGAAAGGGGGCAGAACTGTTAGCAGTTTATTACAATAGTCCAGAAAAGATAGCCTAGTGGTCTGGACTATAAGGGCTATGAAGGAAATTGAGAGAAAACACATCTGAGAGCTATTCAAGATACTCAAGTTAGCAGGCCTTGGGGATGGTGTGGATATGGGGTATGATCAGGAGGGCTGAGGGTTGACTCCCACATGTCAGGTGGCCCATGGATGCTGGTGTGCTGTCTCTGAGCAGTGGAGAAAACCAGGAGCTGAGTGAGGGTTTGGGGTCTTTTCCTAATGGGGAAGCAGATGAGCTTTGAATCAGCAAGACTTTGGGCAATCGATGTTGCTGGCTCTTTCCCCAAGGATCATTTCATTATTTTCCTGGTTCTTTGCTTTATTCCAGAGGGGAGAATGACTACAACATACCCACTAGCCTCAGAATCTAGTTAACAAACCTAGTAATGTATGACTTTTTGCCCATGAGGCCACTGTCAATTAGAAAAAAAATTCAATTATGACCGTGAAGGTGGCCCTCCCAGTTCCTCCAAGAGTGAGCAAGACAGAGTCTGCTGGTGGCCATTAAATTGCCTCTGTTTCCTCTTCACAATGATAGGAACACCCACTGAATACCTCCTATGTGCCGGGTACTCTGTGAGCCTCCTTGCAGACAAGCAAGATACTGTATAACTTCTATAAATGAGGGAGCTCAGGGAGGCAAAGGAACTTCCTAAGGTAACAGAAGTGGCGAGTTGGTGCAGGCAGGACTCAACACCCAGGTTGGCTAGACTCCAAAATCTGCATTCCGCCACTAACACCACCTCTTCATTTCAAGAGGATCTTTCTTTCGGGACCACTTTACCCAGTTGCCGGTTTATCCGGAGACAATCCACATTGGTTGTGGAGACCGCTAAAAACACCAGATCAATGTGTTTTTTCCATTTTTCTACCATTCTGTTACCAACAGACACCAATTAGAAATGGACCTCTAATTAACCAAGCCCACAGGAAGTAAGAACCATGTACCTTAAATCAGTCGGAGGCAACACATTTTCCATGATGAGTAACAGTTACCACACAAAGCTACTCCAAAGGGACAGGATGAACCGGGAGACTTCGCACTTACTCGATTAATCGAAGGGAAAGGCTGTGTCTTTTAAAGGATGCTTTTAAAAAGCAGTGAAGTAGGAAAGAATCCAAGAATTGGTCTCAGTTGGATGCTTTATGATGAGCTTAAAAATAACAAGGTTTGCAGGTGTATAAACATGTATAGAGCAGCCTTCGAGGTAAGCCACGCTCTGGACTTCTCTGAAGCCTGCACACGGGTCTGCCCAGCACAAAACCCCCAGATGGTGGAGGAGGGAGAGAGCCCAGAACACCATGCTTAAAGGAGGGGCAACAAGCAACCACGAACCCCACAAAACTGCACAGACTTTACCCACATGCCTTTTCTTACACTTGGCATCATTCCTGAGGGTCACACCCACAATCCCATAAAACAGTCCTAGACTATGATAAGACATGTGATTGCAAGGTCAAGGACTCAGCAATTCCCACCCCACCCCACTTCCTGGGCCTCCCTAAGTGTACTGGGTACACTGGGCAATGCCAGGCCATCCCACCAATCCCAGTCTGGGTGGTCAACCACTCCTTGACCCTTGACTGTGTCCCCTCAAACACAGCCCTATGTTAACCCTCCATGTCCTCATTGCTACTATGGAGATAAGAGTGCAGGACACTGCAGGGACAGGAAGATACCACGCTAAGTGAGAGAAATGAAATGAGGGCAAACCTGACAACAGTCCTAACCTTCTGAAGCTAAGCTGTGTGAGCCTGGGCCTGTGAATTTCTCTAAGCCTGTTTTCTCATCTGTGAAGATGCGGTTACAATAACCCTACATCAGAAGGGTACTGGTGGGATGGAATGGGATAAAGGGAAATACAAGGCCCGAAGAGTCGCAGTGAGCTGGTACTGCCCTGGTTTTTTTCCTTTGCCACTCTGCTGCCTCACCCTCGGTCGGTGGAGCTAGAGAGGACTGCTTGGATGAGTGCTTCCCACATCTGCACCACTAAGAATCTCTCAAAAAATATGCATCTCCATTGTTCCTCCTAAATACCCCTTATTTTGAGTGATGTTGTCTCCCTAACTGCATTAAGTTGTCATTATTTCCCTGTTCTATTCACCTAGGACAGTGATGGTGAACCTTTTGAGCTCGACGTGTCAGCATTTTGAAAAAGCCTAACTTAACTCTGGTGCCATGTCACATATAGAAGTTTTTTGATATTTGCAACCATAGCAAAACAAAGATTCATATTTTTGATATTTATTTTATATATTTAAATGCCATTTAACAAAGAAAAATCAACCAAAGAAATGAGTTTGCATGTCACCTCTGACACGCGTGTCATAGGTTCGCCATCACTGACCTAGGATGTCAGAATAAAAAAGTTACCTAGAAAAAATAAATTAGACTTCATCACAATCTCAAAACTTGTATGTCCAAGGACACTATGTAGAGGGTAAAATGACAACCCACAAAATGAGCGGGAATACTTTCAAATCATATACCAAATAAGGGTATAGTATCTAGAATATAGTATAAAGAACAATAAAGACACAGTAACAAAAAACACCAATTTTTAAAATAAAGTATTGGGGTGAAGGCTTGAGAGGGGGTGGGGGCTACATGGAGGGGGTAAAGGGAAGAATGGGGGACGTCTGTAATAGCGTCAAGATAAAACAAAAATAAAAATAGGCAAGGGATTGGAATAGAAATTTCTCTAAAGAAGACAGACAAATGACCAATAAACACATGGAAAGATTCCCATGAGGAAAATGCAAATTAAAACCACGAGATACCACCTTACAACTAGTAAAACTAATTACCTAGCGTGACTAATAAAAAAGATACAATAGCCCTGGCCAATGTTACTCAATGGTTTGAGCATCAGCCTGTGCACTGAAGGGTCATGGGTTCAATTCCCGGTCAAGGTCATGTATCTGGGTGGCAGGCTCGAACCCTGGCCCTGGTTGCAGTGAGTGACGGAGGCAACCAATCAATGTCTCTCACATCAATGTTTCTCTCTCTCTTTTCCTCCCCCCTCTCTAAAAATCAATGGAAAAATATCCTCAGGTGAGGATTAACAACAAAAAGATACAATAACAAGTGTCAGGGAGCATGTGGAGAAATTAGAAGTATAACAACAAAAGTCAGGGAAGATGTGGGGAAATTAGAACCCTCACACACTCCTGGTACAAATGTAAAACAGTGAATACTTGTGGAAAATAGTTTGGCAGTTCCTCTGAAAGGTAAACTTAGTTACCTTATCACTCAGCAATTCCACAATTAGGAAACTAAAAACGTATGTTCATACAAAAACTTGTACACAAATGTTCATAGCGATATTATTAGTAATTGTCCAAGTGGAACCAACCCAAATCTCCCTCAGCTGAAGAACTAATTCACAAAATGGAACATATCCATGCCATGAATATTTCCATGCGAGCCCTGGCACACGCTCCAGCACGCGTAAAACATGACAACATGATACTGAGTGAAAGCCTGTCACGGAAGGCCAGCTACTGTATGATCCATTTCTATGAAATGCCCAGAACAGACAAATCTACAGAGACAGGAAGTAGACCAGTGGTTGCCAGAGGCTGGAGGGAGAATGGGAGTGACTGCTAACGGGTACAGGGTTTCCATTTGGGGTGATGGAAATATTCTGGAATTAGTGGTGATGGTTGTGCAACTTTGTAAATTTATTAGAAATATCATTGAATTGTTCATTTTAAAAGAGTGAAATTTATGGTATATGAATTATATCTCAAAAAAGTGTAAGTGAGCTGAGTAGATATCATTCCATCTGCAGCAATGAAATTGGACATGCTCATTACACTGCAGCCTGAGGCCTCCTCTGACTAAGTCCTGACCAGCTGACTGAATCTCTCCATTTACCAGGGTCTTCATCTGTACCATGGGACAATAACATTACCTAGTCAGAAAGATCAAATAAAAAATACACGGAAGTGATTAGCAAATGGTGCCCTACCGTCAAGTGTGTGTGCACGCTGGCCACTTCTACCAGAGGCTCCCTGAAGGAACAAAGCGAAGCCAGCACCCCAATCTGATGGATGCGAGGCCCTCCCCAGCCGGACCCTCCCCTCTGGCCCTGCCCCCTCACCTCAGGGGTCAGCGCGTTGTTGTCTGAGGTCTGGCTGGACAGCAGGATGTGTGTGAACCCCTCTTCCTTCCGCACGACAATGTCCCGAAACCGACAGTTGCTTTCGTTCTGGCGGACGCTGTACCTGAGCCTCTTGTCAAAGACGTAGTCCTTCTCCGTGTCCAGCTTCCTCTTCACCGAGCTGTGCATGTTTAATCCCCCGTTGGTCAGAGCAGAGCCTTCCAAAATCAGATAAACCAAGTGAGACACTAAGACAGGGACCATCGTGCAAGAGCAAGGTCAGAGAGCATTCAGATTTTCATTGGAAGGGTCGGATGTGGCTGGGACCCCCACGCAGCCTCTGTTCTGGGTGCACTTGCTATATCTCCAAATTCAGAAGAGGATAGAGAGGGCTCTCCGGAAAGGGCCCCCTGTGATCCTTGAGTCCCCTCTCCCACGCATAGGCTTGCTTCTGCTCGGACACCTTTTAGCAAAAAGGAACCACTGCTTTGAAAGCGTACGGCCACAAGACAAAAGACTTGCAGCTCTATTTATAGCCATCAAAGATTGGGAGCAACCAATATGTCCTTTACCAGGTGCATGGATAAACAAACTATGGTCCATTCATACAATGGGATATCATTCTACAATAAAAGTAAGTTAGCTATCAAATCACAAAAACACAGGAATGAATCTTAAATGCAGACTAAGTTAAAGAAGCTAGCCTGAAAAGGCTACACATTGCATGAGTCCAATTATATAAGATTCCAGGAAAGGCACAGTGTCGAAACAGTGAAAAGGTCAGTGGCTGCCAGGAGTTCAGGTGGAATGAGAAGAGGTGGATAGGTGAAGCTTGGGTTTTTTTTGTTGTTGTTTTTTTTAGGGCAGTGAAACTGTTCTGAATGACACTATAATGGTGAATATGAGACATTACACATTTGTTGAATCCCAAAGAACTTCACAGCACAGTGTACCTTACAGTGTGCAGATTTTTTTAAAAATGAAGAAACTGGGAGATTCCCAGGAAGGAATGCAGCACGTGATCAAAGAATGTAACTGTATTACAAATGTAGGAAACAACCTCGCTGAAGGGGGTGGGGAAAGGTGCTGACCTAGGGAAGCCTAGCAATGAGAGGAGTCTGCAAAACTACAGGCGAAATAACCCGTATAGAGCACTGTACTCTAATTGACAACGTTGATTCCCACGGAAGTAGGTAGGAGTTAAGAACTTTGATACATGTGTGCTGGAAATGAACAGCTAAGTAGACAATGAAGCAGATGACAGGAACACGTTTTCTCACTGTGGGAAGGGAAGGGAAGAAGGTTAGAATGATCCACATGATGACGGATTAGAATTGACGACATCAATGTGAGCTCAGATTTAGCTTAATACACTTACAGATGACGACATACAGAAATATTTATAGATAAGTGTATGCACACAGGTTAATATATACACATGTATTTCTTTGTTCTGTCAGCTGAGAGAATCAATGACGTGCCAATAGCAGCAAGTACACCCAGGGCCCAGATCTCGATTTCTGATACCACTCTTAATAAAAGGAACCAGGGCTCCCTGGAGAAATTGCTGATTCTAGGACTGGGAAGGAAACACATCAGATAGGCTTGTCGTGCCTGAAAGAAAGGACGCACTAACATTTTTAAATTACCTTACAATGATGGGGTTTTCTAAAAGGACACAGAGCAACTGAAAGAGCTCATGATAGCCAAGGATGGAGCAATTTGACAACAAAATCAAGTAATATTGCATTAAAACTGAAAGGGTAAAATCAAGATCCATGCGTCCACACTGATATAAATAAATGATGGAATAAGTGAATAAATGGGAGAGAAGAGACAATTCTCCCATGCATAGAACTTGAGATAGTTTGTGCAGACACTCTGCCTTCATGGGGGAGGAGCATAACACCACACTTTCTAAGCTTGGGCTGCACATAGTGACTCCTTCCAAACAGTACAATATGGCAAGTTGGGTGGGAGGGGGGGAGTTAGTAACTGACAGTGGAGAACCCTGATGGTCAGCTGGAGAAGCCAAAGCCACCTCAGCCAGATGATCAAGGTCGACATCCACAGTGATAAGTCAAGGTGACAGCATGTACCCTTAATGATGATGGGAGGAGAGTGGCACTTCACCTCTGTGGTCTTCCTCTCAGTAACCACATCACGAGGTCAATGTCAAACAAATGCAGATTGAGGGGCGTTCTACAAAGTACCTAATCAGTACACTTCAAAGCTGTGAAGGTCATCGAAAACCAGGGAAGTCTGAGAAACTGTCACAGCCCAGAGGGACCAAAGGAGATATGAGGGAGAAAAGTAATGTGGGATCTAAGAAAACCTGACTGATGTATGGACTGTAGTTAGTAATAATGCATCAATACTGGTTCATCAACTATAACAAATGTACTCCACAAATCCAAGATATTAATAATAGGAAAGGCTGAGTGTGGGTATATAGAAATTCTATATTATCGTCCAAATTTCTCTGTAAATCTGAACCAGTTTAAAAAGTGAAGTTTATTTGCCCTGGCCAGTGTTGCCCAGTGGCTAGAGTGTTGGCCCACACACTGCAGAGTAGAGGGTTCGATTCCTGGTCAAGGGCATGTACCTGGGTTACTGGTTCGATCCCCAGCCTAGTTGGGGCACGTGTGGGAGGCAACCAAGTGATGTGTTTCTCTCACACATCTATGTTTCGCTCCCTCTCCCCCTGCCTCCTTGCCCCTCCCTCTCTCTATAAAGCAATTGAAAAAATATATATATCCTTGGGTGAGGATTAACAACAAAAGGTGAAGTATATATTAATGAACATTTTTCAACAGTAAGTTAACAATAAATTTTTTAAAATCACAACACACTTCTTGGGTGATTCTGACATGCAGGCAAGTTTGTCGTTACACTTGAGCAGGCATCAGCACCCCCTGGAGAAAACCCAGCCTGCCGGGCCCACCCCATGGTGCTGCCATCACTCCCAAGACCAGGCTTTGAGATGCAGGGTCCAGACAAGCCAGGCAGTTCCCCACCACCAGGTGTGAGAAGTCTCCCTCAAGCCCTGGACTTGAACAGTGATGAAGGCCTGAAAATCTTGTTGAGCTCAGCATTTCTGCTGGGGGCACGGGATGGAGCCCCATCTCAAAAACAACCTCACTAGGCTGCAGTGATGTGGGCGGAAGGGTACAAGGAAACACGGAGAAGGATTTACTCTGCGCTAAGCATTACTGGACCTTTCATTTTGTTTCTGGCAAGGAAGGGAAAGAAGTCACGATGGAGGCTGCAGTGCTGCATCCCAACCAGAAGCTGGTCCCCTGAGGCCAAACCTGGCCCTCTTAGGAAAATTACTGTGGACAGAGTGGACTTGTCCTGGTTGCTTATCCTCAGAGAGCAGGATCGAATGACATACATATTTAAAGGACCCATGATAAAAGTAAACAAGGAATAAATGGTAGCTTTTGTTTTCTAATTATCATGGCCCGGCTCAACATAAAAGTATTTCAGTGATCCTCTCTCTCCAGCAACACTGTAAGCACTTTGAGGGCAGGGCCACTGTCGCACACAACGCAGACCAGCATAACACCTGTGCACCGGAAGTCCACGGGAATTGTTCCTTGGCCTCCGGAGCCCTGGGTCCGCCTCTGGGTGGACTCAGATCCTTAACTAGCATCGGGGATCCTGGAAGCTCAAGAACCAAGCCAAAGGCAGAGACCGGGAAGTGCTTTACCCGACCCCTCCTCGGGAATGCTGCCCCCCCCCCCAGGAGAGCGCCCAGCATGGAAGGGGCACCGAGGCAGCGGTGCCTGTGTCCTCCCTGCTGCCCCGAAGCTGCCTAGTGTTATACTTTTCCATCACTCCAAGCAACTGGGCTTTGTCAAACACCACCATGCCGGGAAAGTAATTCAATGAACTCTGGAAAGTAAACTCGACCATCTAATTAAAAGCCTTCTGTAAAGGGAGCTGTGTCTTCAGGGTTAACCTCAAAACCTTCAGCTCCTCAGAGGGGCTTTCTAATTGGGGCTGGCCACGGTTTCTGCAGCAGCCCAGGCAGATCCACGGGGCAGTCCTGTAAGCGCATTACAACCTGGGGAGAAGTCAGAACCTTAGGGCACTGGTACATCAATGCTTTCCAGGGCTGGGAACGGTTTGAATAAAATCTTCCCGTGCCCCAACCAAACTGAGCTTCTAATTAACAGTTATATCAAGGAGGAGGACGGGAGGATTCCCTGTGTTGAGCTCTCTACTAGTATGTTGTCTCTAAATTTCTCAGCGCTCTGATGAAATCACCATGAGTCCATTTTGCAGATAAGGAAAAGTGAATAATGTGCTGGAAGCCACAGAGGTCTTGAGTGGTAAAGCCAGGATAGGAGATAGCTGTCTCTCATTGGATTCATTCATTCACTCAAAATCTATTATCACCTCCCTATGGACTATCATACTAGATCAGTGATGGCGAACCTTTTGAGCTTGGCGTGTCAGCATTTTGAAAAACCCTAACTTAACTCTGGTGCCGTGTCACATATAGAAATTTTTTGATATTTGCCATCATAGTAAAACAAAGACTTATATTTTTGATACTTATTTTATATATTTAAATGCCATTTAACAAAGAAAAATCAACCAAAAAAATGAGTTCGCGTGTCATAGGTTTGCCATCACTATACTAGATGATGGATATCCAAAAAACATTGAAAAAATAAGATACCTGCCCTCACGGAGCTTGCTTGGTGGGGGCGGTGAAAAATAAAAAAGTATTTCATTAGATCCTGTTTCTGATTGTAAGTGGCTATGATGGGTCCTGTGTTTTAGGAGACCCAGAGGAAAGTCACCCCAGAGCCCAACAGACTAACTTCACACAGAGCTGCCCTCAAGCCCCTCCCCTTCTGGGGTGTTGAACCTTTGAAAAGACTGCAGCAAGCTGGCAGGGAAGGCACCATGGGATATAGAACATTCCAGAAGCATGGAAGTCTAGGGCTTTGCAGCCAGACAGTATAAGAAGCCCAGCCCTGTGTTTGCTAATTCGGAGAAGCTAAGAAGTCACATGAGCTTCTGGAACATTCATGTCCTTGATTATGAGATAGTCAATAGTACCTGCTTTTCAGGTTGTTGGGATATTTCAATTAAAGAACTGATAGGGGATTTAACAAGTGCCCAGCTCATCCTAGGCATTCTGTAAGTGTTAGCTGAAGGACACTAAGTCATTTTACAAAACAGGAATTAATTGGTGAGTCCT